GCTACTGTAGTGAAGGTTTGATATTTACCTACACAATACTGTACCTGTCACCCCGTCTGGTCCCCGAGATATGCTCGAGACTGTCAGACTGGTGCCTGCACTTTGGCACCTCAGCTACCCTGAGAGATTGGAGTGCCTGAACTTGCTTAGCTTATACTACAGACGGGCAAGGGGTGACCTAATTGAGGTGTATAAGCATCTCAAGGGGCACTACTCAGTCTAGTGTCCTTACTTGGAGCTGGTGGACGCTTGCTCCACAAGGGGTCACAGCTCAAGATTGAAGAAGCCGCACGTCCAGAAAACTGTGAGGGGAAACTTTTTCGGAGTGAGAGTTGTGAACTCTTGGAACAATCTACCAGAAAGTGTTGTGGCAGCACCGAGTGTGAGCTCTTTCAAGACCAGACCAGGTACATTCAGGAGCCAGTGCATGCCCAGTACTTGCCAACAGTGCATAACAGAGATGTGACCAATCGCCCAAGCGGCTAACGAGCCAATCAGTGGTAAAGAGGATAAAAGTGTACTCAGAATATGTCACCAGTGATGGGCATCGATACACTAAATTGTCTACGGCGATACCGATACATCTGGGGTGTTGGTGGTACAATGGTAACGCGCATAACTCTCACCAATATGTAAAGGGTTCGAGCCTCAGCCCGGACACACGTGAGAAGGGTGTTATCCAGTGTGACCCTACCAAACACCACAGGTTTCGTCCTGTATTAACAGTGGATAGACCGCCCAAACGGCTAGTAAGCTGATAAGTGGCGAACATGATGAAAAAATAAATAAAAATACTCAGAAATCATCTAGTGTGATATCGATACTGTGTTGATGGTTAAAACGATACAGTACTTTACTATAAGAATACTGTAAAGAAATCCCACTAATTAGTAAATTTTTAATTTTGGTATTGGAAGTAATACAAACAATGAATGCAATAGAAAAGTGTATTTGATGACCCCCAAAAGCAAATTTTAAATATATAATGAACTTTTGTGAAAAAAATAAATAAATTATTGATGTGACCCACCTTCCAAGATATCATTATTGTGATATCAATATATCAATGAACCTGGCAAATTAATAATTATTGCTTTTCAGAATGACCAATTCACCAAACATCTTATCTGATGGTCTACTTCTCTTTGGAGAGTGGATGTGGCCCACCAAACTAAAAAGTCACTCCACAGGAGCAGAGGAGGGAAGAGGGGTGTTGTATTTTATAAAAACTCACAATTCCTGGATACTAATGTAGTGAGGACAATGCATTGCATGGGTAGTCCAGGTATTTTAACACTTCCATCTCAGATGAGTCTTCATCTGGAGTGACAGTGGATGAAGCATATTCATATTCGCCATATTTCTGGAAAATTTTCGAAAAATTCTGGAAGTGCTCACGAAATTTCTGGATAAGTTGCATGACACGGTTGTGATGGGGTAATAAAAATAAAATCTTCCGGTGATGGTGTTTGTTTGTACACAAAAATCAATACAATAAGCTCTAATACCCGCTCATTTCATCCCAAACAATGGATAACGGCGAATGGCTTTGGAAAAATCCCTAAATGGCAACTGTAAGCTGACGGGAATCAGTCTTATCCATGTCATATTGTTCATGAGATACAAGTCAACTTGTGGCATGATGGATGACTCAATGAGTAAAATGGAATAAAATCAAGAGATTTGGGGGATTTACTGTACAGTATATGAAAATTCTGGAGACTTACCACTATTTTATTAAAAATGAGAAAAATCTGGTATACAGCTGAAAAATCTGGAGAAATCCAGACTTTTCTGGGTATTTGGCAACACTAAGAACGGTGCAGTCAACAGGCTACAGCAGTAATATGGGTTCAACTCACCAGTCGCCCTCACTAGCATATCACAGCCTCCAGCTGTAGTTTGTAGTTTGGGGATGTGACATACAAACAGAAATAATGAATAGTACTTTCTCTATGATCACAAGCAGTGTGGGGTGATTTATGGCACGAAATTGTCAATTGTACCTGTAAAAAAAAGGGGTACCACAGGGTAGTGTATTGTGCCTGCTGTTGTTTGTCTGCTTCATTAATGACATGCCTGAAGCTATACACTCCTCCATACAAATGTTTGTGGACGATGCCAAGGTATTTCGTGAAATTAAGAACCAAACAGACTTTGAAGAGCTGCAGAAGGATCTCTGTGAGCTTCAAGAATGGTTGAAGAAATGGCTGTTAAGATCCAATGTTATGAAGTGTAAGAGGATGCACCTGGGACATACCAACGGTAAGGAGGCGTATCATATGTCCCAACTACATTAATTGAGACAATGCGAAAAGGACCGGTAGGTGTGTATGTTGACAATGAACTGAAATTCTCAGGCCAAAGTGGGAAGAAGGTGAACCAAGCACTAAATTATTAGGTCTTATAAGAAGATCATTCAGATATTTAGATGGTCCGTCCCACATAAAGATCTTCAAGAGTGAGGTGCTTCCCCACCTGGAGTACTATCTGGTCCCCAAAATATGCTAGGGACTGTCAGTTGATTGACACTTCGGCACCTCAGCTACCCAAAGAGATTAGAGTACCTGCAATTGCCTAGCTTATACTACAGATGGGCAAGGGGAGACCTAATTGAGGTGTTTAAACATCTCAAAGGTTACTACTCGGTTGAGTGTTCTTACCTGGAGCTGGAGAACGCTCGCCCCACAAGGGGTCACAGCTCAAGGTTGAAGAAGCCGCAAGTCCAGAAAACTGTGAGGGCAAAATTTTTCTGAGTGAGAGTTGTGAACTCGTGGAACAAACTGCCAGAGTGTTGTGACAACACCAAGTGTGAGCTGTTTCAAGACCAGATTTGACCAACACTGGAGCAGGTTCAGATACATTCAGGAGCCAGTGCATGCCCAGTACTCCAACATTCCGTAACAGAGACGTGACCGACCACCCAAACGGCTAACGAACCGATCAGTGGTGAAGAGAATAAAAGTAATAGTCCCTGTATTCATATTACTGTAAGGAAATTAAACTTCAGAAAACAGTACATTACTGTAACATTAGTGTGTGGCTGTGCCCTGTCTAAAATGAATGATACTCTCCAGTACTGTATTCAATACAAGTGTACAGCAGCAAATTAAAAAAAAAAGTTAGTGTACAATAATAAAGATTACACTAGAAAAAGTTACTACAGGTCAAACCCCTCTAATCCAGTACTGTGTGGACTGGTAACTTCTGTGGTCTGGCATGATTCATGAGTTCACAAAACTGCTTGGTAAAGTAGATATCCATGTTCCCAGCACTACTGCAAGTTTGTTTACATCTGCCAGTCCAGATTCTCAGTGTTGTGGAATAGTGCTTTTATCTTTCATTAATTTACCTTTTAATATGGCTCCAAAGAGACTAGCAAGAGGTGAAACTGATGGTAATACTGTGTAAATTGTACTGAGCTTATATAAGAAACACTAACATTCCCCCATAGTGTTTTAATAAAAAAAAACACATAAAAGGGAGGCCACATAAACCAGGGTAATACAGTAGTGTATATTATTTCTTTGATACAGAATTAATACAGTATTTTTCCACTATAAAAATATAAATAAATTTCACTGTGCAACAATTTTTTGTTTATGTTGATTTTGATATGTTTCTTTACTAATTTAGACATGCTGATTATGAATCTGCCATTGGTTTTGCCATGCTATCAATATTTTTTTGAAAAATTAACAATATCACTTTTTCTCAATTTTAATGCAATTTTGGGGGATTTCTGTTAAAAAGCACAGCAATTTCAAATGTTGACTTCTCATCTTCTGAAGAGGGCGAGGATGTTGACTTTAATGTAGCAGACTCGAGCAAATCCCCACATTTTCCTAATCAGCACAAACTGGATGACTTAGTCAGGGATTTAGGTCTTACCAAGGAAAATGCTGAGATTTTGACATCTCGTCTCAAGGAGTGAAATTTACTAAATCCTAGTTACAAGATTAGTACATACAGGAAAAGGCATATAACTTTTACACCTTTCTTCAAAGTTTTGGAACACAATTTGCTGTGTTACTGCTCTGATGTCAATGGCCTTTTTGGCCAAATAGGCATTGAGTACAACCCTTTTGATTGGCGTCTGTTTATTGACAGCTTTACAAAAAGTCGTAAGGTTGTGTTGCTTCACAATAGGAATACACTTCAATCAATTCCGGTAGGTCATTCAGTTCACATGAAGGAAGACTATGAAAATTTAAAGATTTTGTTGGACATGCTCAACTATACAAGAAACAATTGGGATGTATGTGGAGACTTAAAGATGATAGGTTTCCTGCTTGGACTACAAGGTGGCTATACCAAGTATTCTTGTATACTCTCTCTATGGGATAGTAGAGCAGATGATGACAAACACTATGACAGAAGAGATTGGCATGTCGTAAGCGAGTTAACTCCTGGTGCACACAATGTATGTAACAATGCTCTTATTCAAAGAGAGAAGATATTGCTGCCATCACTTCACATAAAGCTAGGGTTTGTGAAGCAGTTTATCAAAGCATTAAGCCCAGAAAGTAGCGCCTTTAAATATCTCCGTTTAATGTTCCCAAAATTGTCTGAGGCCAAAGTCAAAGGCGGTATCTTCATTGGACCATAAATTAGGCAGATGTTGGCATGTAAAGATTTGGAAGACAAAATGTCAACTGTTGAAAAAAGTGCCTGGCAAGCATTTCGGCTTATAGTACATGGGTTTCTGGGCAACCACAAGTCTGAGAACTACAAAGAGATGGTGGAAAATTTAATTGTATGTTATAAAGAACTTGGCTGCAGAATGTCACTGAAGTTACTCTACTTGCATTCACACTTGGAATTCTTCAGACCAAACTTGGGACACGTGAGTGAAGAGCATGGTTAACGGTTTCACCAGGACATACAAACTATGGAGAAGAGATATCAGGGGACATGGGATGAAGCTATAATGGGCGACTACGTGTGGAGTTTGATTCGAGATGACCCTAAGGAACACAAAAGAAAATGCCGTTAAAGTGTTCATTTTTAGCATAGTTTATTGTTCAATTTCATTAGTGACAAGTGTAGAAAAGCAGTGTGTTGTTTATGCTTTCAATATAACATAAAATTGTGCTCTTGTTTCATTTATTTCATTAGCAAATGTGATGTATATCAACATTTCACCTTCTGATTTCTGGTTAAATTTCAGAGATGATAAAAAATTAATTGCTAATTTCTGATAAAACTATTGATGCTGTAAAAAAACTAGTCATATTTGGAATCAACGTACTCGAAAACATATAAAAAAGTTAAACAATCAGATAAACACAACTTTCCCTAAAATTTGTTGCACAGTGTTCAGACATCATAAATACAGAACTATCATATATTCGTGCAATAATTTATGGTAAATGATTCAAAGTTGCTCAGAAATGACATCACATGGAATGCAATTGTGCTATAAAGTGAAGGCTCCTCTGATGTGACCTCATGTCTAAAGGAGATCGTCAGTGCTGCACCCTGCAAGTGATCATGTCGCTTACCTCCCCTCCAAATAGCTCCTCTACCACTACTACCTGGCAACCTGTCCAGATTTTACTTAGTAGCTTAACCCCCACAATATGCTTGGCTTTGCCTCACACTACCAACAGGTGTAAATCATGTTATCAACTTTTTACCTCATCTCACACTTTTTTCACCCCCTAACTGGTAAACATACTCCTCCACCTCTTAGCAGCCATACCACCTCTCCATCTACTACAGTTTACAGTATACTGACTCATGCACTCCTGACTGGGAGTGACTTGCTACTATACAGGGTCATGTGATGTAACCCAATTTATTACATAAATATTACAGTATTTCTATACCGTACCTTGCATGATTGAAGGCTTGCAAGCGGTATTGCAACACTTAACTGTATTATGCTTATGCAACCACATTATTCATGGCCTTTAATCATTTGGAAAAAAAACAGGGTTGTGTTCTGAGACTGGGAAATCTGTGACACTGGTAACTCTTAAACTTCTATCTGTATGACAATTTGGGTCAATATTATGCTGGCACTGCTTAATCTCCTAATTAATGATAGGTGAAAAGACTGGGTGCCCCATTGTAAATAAACAAAAAGATATAAACAGCATATATATATATCCACTCTAGGTGTGTACAGTATATGGGCAGAGGTCTGGAAGAGTCCACATTTGGGTGGGACATGTAAGGTGTAAATGAGTTGCAGGATGTGGGAAGTCAGGTTTTATGTGGGTGGAGGTGTGTAGGTAGGGGTATGAGTGGGTGGGTGTGTGTATAGGTAGGGGTACGAGTGGGTGGAGGTGTGTAGGTAGGGGGTATGAGTAGGTGGGGGTGTTAGGTAGGGGTATGGGCAGTTCTAGATCTAGGAGTTGTGAGAGTATTATGTACTGTATTGTATTGTTCTGTTCTTATTGTTTTGTATTGTGTTATTATATTCTGAAATGTACGGTATGTTCACTTTTATGTTATTTGGTTGTTCGGACCTGCTGTCTGCACTGTCAGCCAAGTTGGGTTGGCACCAGTTGCTGGCCAGTCAGGAGTTGTAGCTTGACCAGCATTGAGAAAGGATCACTTGTAACCTTGAGAATAAAGCCAACCAGAACTCCCTGTTTGCTTGACCTTGATTGGTGAGGGTGTGGGTGGAGGGCAGGTGTGTAGAGTTGAGAGGGAGTAAGAAGTATAGCACAGTTCTCCAAGAGTGTCGCAAAAGTGACTGGTCAAATCAGGGTAACAACCTGACTCAGGTGGGTTAACAGAGAATTCATTTTGTATGTTAGGTTGTGTCTACAAGGTAAGCCTAGCAATATTAAGCCAGGATTGTAGAAAGCATTAGTTATTGGACACTTCTGTTTTCATGAGTTTATGATATGGAAACCTGTGAGATTATGGTATGTCTAGTTAATGTAGAATTTCAGTGCAAACTATATTTTACTTTAGAAAATTTTTATTTTTATTCATTTTAAGGCAATGGTGGTTTGTTCTGACAAGAGTAGCATAAGGATGTGTTGTGGTGGTGGTGTGGGATGTTCTGTAAGTGCATTTAGTAAAGTACAGGATCAGAAATTAATTGTAATTTTTATTTTTTATATTATTTTCTGTGTTTAACCTTAAATCAATCAGTTACCATATTTTACGGCATACAATATAAAAAACAGTACCCCC